TCGCTTTTGTAACACACTAGATATTAAAACACCGTTGTATAGCGAGTAAGCGTTTAAGTTTGGATTTCGTTCTTTGCTACTTTCTTTCAATTGTTTTTTTTTCTATTTTCGCAATAGAGACGTAATTTTCGCTTTTTCTATCATTTTTTCCAGGATAAGTGGTAACTATCGTACTATGTTGCAGAAAATGTTTTTTTTTATTTCCATTTGGCTTTTTAGTGCTGCAATGACCGTGTCCTCAAATGGATCCGCATTTTTAGGCATTAATCTTAATAATCCATCCACACGTCGTATTTTTTAGCGTTGTAATTTATTAGCTTTATTAGCGTTCTTTAAACCATATATTGTTAATAGAGGTCTGTGGTCTGTTTGCAACCTAAAATTTCTTTTATGAATAATTTGCTAGAGCCTCTTTTTCTATCTGGTTGTAGTTTTTTCTCTGCTGATAAAAGCGAGCGTGAAGCATGAGCTAAGGCTTTTATTTTACCACCATCGTATTTGTGTAAAATCACCGCTCCAATACCGTATGCACTAGCATCTGACGCCACTAAAATTTCTGCTTTTGGATCGTAATGTGCTAATGATAAATCTGACGTATTTTTTATTTTCTCAAACACCTTTTGACAGTTTGCATTCCAGTTCAACTTTTCTCCTTTTTTAAATAGATCGTCCAGTGGAACTCTCAAATTATGCATATTATATACATATATTTGATAGTAATTAGTCAGTCCTAGAAAAGCTTGTAACGTAATCTGGATGAAGCATATTTTAATTGCACTTGCTTTCGGCGAATCTGGTTGACGACTATTTTTATCAGTAATTTGACCAAGATATTCAATTTTCGGAAAAAAACAATTCACATTTTTTTTTCACTGAGCTTGAATCCGTACTCCTCGTTTTTCCAAAATTGTTTTCACATGCCCACCATGTTGTTCTTTAAATACACATTTGATTAAAAGATGCACCACTGCCAAATTGCAACCTGCAAGTATGGTATCAGTGCCGTTTTTATAGCAAAAGGTAATCGCTTAAACTTATATAATCCTCTTTGCGTATTTATGGCCGTTAATTCAGAACATTCATTTTCAATCTGAATTTGAAAATACACTTCAGAGAGGTCCAGCTTAGAAAATATTCTTCGAAAAGATTTCCTCTGGACTTGGCAAGGGGTGAGGGGTAGTTATGCATTTCTAAACAACTGTTTAATCTTGTCGAGAAATCGAGGTAAACAAAAATCTTATTATTTTTTTTTTATATTTACATCGCTGGTGCAGTACATTTTGAATGATTATTTTTTTTCATTAAACCAATTCTTTCGAGTCTGTCCAACTCTTCGTTGACTTGTTCCAATATTGCGAATGGTACGCTCTGTTTCGACTTAAATAATGGCGTCGAACGTTTTCTACTTTAAATCCGTCTTGAATTTTAAACATCGACCCAGTTCATTTGACAGAACCTCTCGAAAACATTTTTTAATTTTTCATTAAGATTTTCCGTTTGACTTTTTAAACTGGTCGCTTATGCAATTACGTTTTTATGATAAACGTTTAACGGCAAATCCCAAAGTTCAAATAATTCCATCCAGTCAGTACCGAATAAATTAGTAGCATTTTCACATGCACATTATTTATTTTCATATTGACAAATTTCCTTTTGTTTTCTGTGACATTTTTCGGTTGCAGTGCTGTGTACGAAATTCTTCCTGTGAGAATTTTTCTTGGTTTGGTTTGATTTTATATGCCCTCAGTTAAAACACTTGTATCATTATCCATTTTTAAATCGACAGTGTTTTCCAATATGTAACTTACTACATCTGAAAGAACGATTAATTCTCCTTTTTTGTACATCAGTCCTTTGCTTGTACCAATACACATAATTTTACAGAATTTCTTCTGCATTGCGTTTTAGACTTAGAATTGTCTGGCAATCGTCCACTATTACTTGTAGTGTAATATTATTGTTTTTTTCATTTCTCACTAAAATGTCCGCTCCTATTTCAGCATCTTTTTATCTGTTAAACCTTCAACGAAAATTAACCCTTTGAACACAACTGGAGTCATTTCCTTTATTTCAAACTTTTCTCATTCTTTGTTGATAGTACCAGCATACGTCATCTTCCTCTTTTTTTTTTGGTTAGATTCATGCACCTCCAATAAGCCTTAAACAGAGAGCTCTTTTCAATAAAGATTTTCGTCAGAATGTCTACTGTGACTTCAAACCCGATTTCACTTGTTTTTGTTCGGTAATATGTATTTGTAGTATTTTTCATACCCAATCAAGGCTATTTTCCTCAACAACAATCACATTTTTCTCTCATGTTCCCATCCGTTGTATACAAATTATGATATGGCGTTTTGGACAGCGTCTGGCGTAAGAGACGTTGAAAAAATTTTGTTTTCGTCAGAAATATATCCAAGAACTCCTGTTACTGTTTTTGTAGTTCTGTTTTGCTGTTTCTGTTGATGTTGTTGAATTTCAAATATGGAAGCCAAAATTTGCTACATATTCGCAAGAATATGTTTTTTCCTACACCCAAGTGAATTTTTTTCTTCTAAACAATAAGAAAAAACTAAAAACCAATAATGTTAAAATACTTGTTGTCACCCGTTTCTTTGTTCACGAATAAACATGTATGTTTTTCCTTACTTTTTCACTTAGTATGACTTTCCAAAATCCTTGTAAATCCAGTTACAAGTTGTATTAGTTCCTGAATCCTCGTTATTCTTATAAGTCGTAAGAGTTCCGAATCCACGTCACAACGATTATAAGTCGTTTGAGTTTTCAATTCCTCGCCTCGTCGCCACTATTATAACGCGATTTGCAGAGCTTATAAATAATGCTTTGTCAATTTGCCGTGACGCCTGTATTACTCATTCTGAAGACACGTCAAATGGCTTCTTTCTTTTACCTCTGACTTGAAGTTTTTTTTTATACTTATGGACAAGTTAAACCTTCAACGAAAATTAGCTCTTTGAACATAACTAGAGTCAGTTCCTTTATTTCAAATTTTTCTCATTCTTTGTTGATAGTACCAGCATACGTCATCTTCTTCTTTTTTTTGGGGGGGGTTAGATTCATGCACCTCCAATAAGCATTAAATAGAGAGCTCTTTTCAATAAAGATTTTTCGCCCATAAAGTCGCTGGAGGTGTAATATTTACTCCACAACACAATATGATTTTAGCTTTCAGTTTAATGTTTGTTTTTTTTTGTAGCAATTTGCGATGTTGGGTGGCAGTCTACAACGTTCAAAGAAGGAGGGTCTTCGCCAAGACGCACAGGCTTTATTTGCTCATATCCGTTTTTAACAATTGATCTCAGAACGTGGTTGCACACAACTGACAGTTTAGATATTTCTGAACAAGCTTGGCGCAATTTATGACATTCACATGAATGTCTTGAGCTGAAGGACCTGTTTAAGAACATGACTCGAGTTTTCATGTTTGGTTTTGTCGTGATTTGCAGTGTTAAGTGAGACGATCCCTAGCACAGTTCAATTTCCTTATCTGCACTACTAAATTTGTTATACTTGGTCCTTTATATGACAGACGTCACCATGTCGGACGTCAAGGTAACACTTGTATACGCAAATAAGCCTGGTGTATATGAATATCACTAGTGTAACGTGCTTACCAGTCACTTGATGGCTTAATTATTATTCAGAGCGAGAATTCTTAGTTGAAAATCGCAGAAAACGACCTAGAAAGTATCAAAAGCACATCGTTCACAATCGCAATGAATGACAAAAGTGTACTTCAAAATTTAATATAATTTCAACCCAAACGTTACGTACATTAATCTATTGTAGAGGAAATCATTTTATTGATTCTTAACGACTGGGAATGATTATTTCAATTGTGCAATGGCAAAAATCTCTTACGTCTTCGAAGTCGTTTCATGAACTTCTGCTATATGTACGGAACACTAACATCGCAAATTTATAAATATTGATTTTTTTTTTCTGAATTTCCGTTATGATTTACTTACATTCTTTACATTTTGTACTATTATCCTAGATTTTGTTATTATTATTATGACTATTATTATTATTATTATTTAATCATTTCGCCGCAATCAAGGTAATAAAGCCACTAAGACACAAGGGTTTATTGTATGTGAAAGAATAACAAAAAGAAAACCTTATTAGTGAGCGAGACCAAGAAATGAAGAGGATTCACGAAGACAGTTGATAATGGTTGACATTGCACTTAAATTATTGAACATTAAAGTTACCTGGGAAGCAAGGGAGTCCCACAGGCGAGAAATGCGTGAAAAGAATCTATTAGTAAAGAACTTGCGTCTAGCTAATTCAACTGTAAAATGATGAGACCTTGCCGCCAATCGAGTACTGCGCTTAAATTCACAGATTTTATGTTTGATGAAACGTCATTAGAATAATTGCGATGAAAGTATTTATAGAAGAGGAGCAGGGAAACTACGTTACGGCACTGAGAAAGTGACTAAAGCCGAGATACCAGCTCAAGACCAATGATATTGCAGATTGTTTTGTAATTTATCAAGAATCTCTAAATATATAGCAGAGGCATCAGAATGTCGTTATGAAATTCTAATTTCCGTCTGAATTTCGAGTAAGAGGAGTTATCATTATTTACATAATTTAAAATCGGGCGAATATCATAATCTTTGTTATTTTTTTTACAATGCTTCGACTGTATTTTAATTTTTAACTGACATTTATTCACATAATATGGGAGGTGGAAGTAAATAGAATAGTATCTCACTGTCGTATTTGAAACTGGTTAGTCATTTTAAACGTGGAGACAGGTCCCTAGCCATAAAATCACAACGTGGACAGCCACTATCGGCCATTGTTGGTCAGTAGTAATACTTCAAAACGCAACCGATAGAAAAGCCTTAATAGTATTTGAAAACGTTTCGAAAAGCCAAGATGGTCGAAAAATACCATATACAGATAAGCACATAAGTTTCAACGATACGTGTTCTGTCCGTTGAATTTTATTTTCAACGAAATAACACGAGTGTCTGTCTCTCTTTCTTTTTTTCTTTTCTCTGTCTTTCTTTGTTTCTTTCTTTCTTTCTTTCTTCTTTTTCCCTGCTTTTCTTTCTTTCTTTCTTTCTTTCTTTCTTCTATCTCTTTCTTTCTTCTCTCTGTCTCTCTTTCTTCTCTCTCTCTTTCTTTCTTTCTTTCTTTCTTTCTTTCTTTCTTTCTTTCTTCTCTTTCCCTCTTTTCTTTCTTTCTTTCTTTTCTTTCTTTTCTTTCTTTCTTTCTTTCTTTCTTTCTTTTTCTATCTCTTTCTTTCTTCTCTCTGTCTCTCTTTCTTCTCTCTGTCTCTCTTTCTTCTCTCTGTCTCTCTTTCTTTCTTTCTTTCTTTCTTCTCTTTCCCTGCTTTTCTTTCTTTCTTTCTTTCTTTCTTTCTTTCTTTCTTTCTTTCTTTCTTTCTTTCTTTTTTTCTTTCTTTCTTTCTTCTATCTCTTTCTTTTCTTCTCTCTCTCTTTCTTTTCTGTCTCTCTTTCTTTCTTTCTTTCTTTCTTTCTTTCTTCTCTTTCCCTGCTTTTTTTCTTTCTTTCTTTCTTTCTTTCTTTCTTTTTCTTTCTTTCTTTCTTTCTTTCTTTCTTTCTTCTCTCTGTCTCTCTTTCTTTCTTTCTTTCTTTCTTTCTTTCTTCTCTTTCCCTGCTTTTCTTTCTTTCTTTCTTCTATCTCTTTCTTTCTTCTCTCTGTCTCTCTTTCTTCTCTCTGTCTCTCTTTCTTTCTTTCTTTCTTTCTTATGCTTATTTGTGTACGTTGGAGGGGATGGAAATTATCTTTTTGTATTTTCTTGGGATGACATTCTCACACACATAGACACATATACATCAAACACAGAAGATAATTCCCTTCCTCCAACACACACATAATCAATCAAGCATAAACAGTGTATTCCGACAGCAATAATTCTCTCAAACATATTTGGTTAAATAATATGAGTTCTATCAAATTTTTTTATTTAACTTTTCAAATTAGGTGTTTTCTCTTATCGATAAACATCATATATATTTTATTTTTTATTATTTCTTCCCGAGTACTTTCGAATGTTGCTACATCCATTTTCAAAAAAATTTCCTGTCTCTAATTACACAACTGTTTCTTAATTCTCATGTCCTCATGTTTGATGGAACCAATTTCAAGTCTTGCATTACTCTATTTTCGGTCTCATCTTGCTCTCTCTCTCATATATATATATATATATATATATATATATATATATATATATATATATATATATATATATATATATATATATATATCGACTCTCTCCCGTCGAATTCGACGTATGAGGGTCAAACAGATCAGCTCCTAGAAACCGACAGCCCGACGTCAGCACATGAGATTTGATTATAATGGTGAAGGTTTCGTGCTGGACCATCCACACGTTTTGAAGGGCCGAATTCAGAGACCTAGTGCACTTCGTGCCACAAGGTTCACAAACGACCCTCCGCAGATTTTGAATTCAGAGTTGTCCTTCTCCTAGACCAGTTGCCATCCAAGGCTATAGAACCCAGTCTGTCCTGCTATTTACCCATAGCTGGAGGGAGAAGAAAAGGATTAACACCTTTCCCAAGCACGTAAGTGAATGTAATGGATTCGAACACGGCCCTCCGATTCCTCAGTCCAAGCCGCTATCCAACACTCTACCGTGCCACCTCTCTCTCTCTCTCTCTCACACACACACACACACACACACACACACACACACACACACACACACACATATATATATATACATATAGAGAGAGGGAGAGGGAGAGGGAGAGAGAGACAAAGATAGATAGATAATGAGAAATTATATATATATATATATATATATGTAAACATGTATTGTTAAATATAACAGATCACGAATGTCTATTAGGTTTGATCATGAGCCGTTCTTATCCTCGTAGAATAGCTTTAGAATGGCTCATGATCAAATCATCAAAGATAATATCTTTGATGGTGGACAACTCTTTTGTAATGTCCATCCAACCAGTCTGATTATGACTCATGTGAACCGAAAACTTAGATCGAGAAACAGCATAATAAAAAAATTTGCAAATGTTGATCAGTTTTTGTCTTTGTTTTCTCCCGAATCTAAAGCCACTATACGAAGCTTAGAACAGCATAAACATAATAGACATTGTCTGTTATATTTAACAATAAAATAATGATCTGCTCCAATACACTCTCTCAGTTTTATATATATATATATATATATATATATATATATATATATATATATATATATATAAGAAAAATATACTCTTCAGGTGTGCTATATTTATGGGATAAAGTGCTCGATATCAGAGATAGAGCATGTGTAAATATAAAAGTGGACATTGAAGTCTAGCATGAAACAGACTGTCGCCTCTAAGTGTTGACTTCAATGTCCACTTATATATATATATATATATAATTATGTCATATTTCAATAAGCATTATTTTTAGTTGCTACTCCTGTTTTTTTTATTTTACTTCATTAAACAGCTAGCATAAGTTAGGTAGTTCTACAGGACACGAATCGAAGCTGAATTCATTTTTTTACCGGAGGGAAACCACTTCTTAAGCCCACGCGTTTCTCTCCCAGTTAAGCCACGGAGCCTGACTGACAGAGTATCCTTTTAATAAAGACTTTTTTTTTTTTCTCATTGACACCTCTTGAATTTATATCTGTTAGCTTCATTTTCATATCCAAAACGTCATCGAAGGTTGTTTCTCATCCACAGTATTTCAATGAAGAGGAACTACATATAAATAAAATATATAAATGAAAATAGAATAAAGGAAATTAGAGTGTTCTTCAATCTTTATTGCAATAATGTCTATAGAATTTAACAAAAATTAACTTAATTCTGAAAAGCTTCTTTATTCACAATGCTTTGCGTGAATCCTTTTGTTTGTGGTGTATAGACTTTCCTGCTTCCTAAGGTGACATTCTTTTTGACATTTAATGACCTTCATCGTTAACCTAGGTCAACTTTCCATAGCGTCTGACACTCCTCGATTGTAACCTATTTGTAGGTCAAGTCTTGGTTGAAATCTATTCAGTAGTTTCTGAGTTTACTAACTCCAAGCAGAGATCGAGAGACGGACATTTTAATATCTTAGACTGTAAGTTTGCATAGCGTTCGTTTTTTTCTTAATTTTAACGATTTAAAAAGTAAAGTTATTTATTTGCATAAATAAAAAGTCCTTGACTGTTAATGCAGAATATGTAACCAATTTTAAAATTATTTAAATATTGACGGCAGTTTTTGACAGTTCGTCTAATCAAAAAAATCTAAGTGAAAATTGATTTTTCAATAGAGAAAAAGAAACACCAATAAATCATTTTCAGACATCTGCAGTAATTCTTGTATGGTATTAGATTTGTTAAGTGTTCTATTAGATTGACGAAATAACTGGCAAAAAAAAAAAACCGCATGTTTCAGTTTCTATATTAGATTTGCTGGGTAGATGGTTGTTAGATTCTGTTGATGTGGCCATCGTTAAAATTTCGGATGTGTAACACTGATCAGGTTTCTTTCAAAAAAGACAGGTTTCTACTTCATCTAACCAAGGAAATCTCCAAGGAGAGGCATTTAGATAGAAGGATCAAGGGACGAATTTCAGATCTAAAAAGGGGGATTTTTGGCAGGTGCGGAATTATGAAAGTATATATATTGTATAATCTGTATACGGGTAGATATAACATTTAATTAATCAAATAGGATTATGTTGGGTTGTTCAGAAAATAATGTCCGATTTTAGAATCAGCGATTTAATTGTGTTTTAATATATTATTATAATAGCTTAGAGAAAAATATATTACCCATTCCGATTGCTTAAAATGTCCTCTTTGTTAATTTTATATCAATCTCTTTAAAGAATTTAACTTAAATCATTATATGTCACTCAGATTGTACATGAAAAAAAACCCAGATGTGTTTACTTTTTTGCATGTGTTCAAGCTTGAACATTATGCTTCTCAAACTGCTGCCAACATTAATAGAGAATGGAGTGAAGGAGCCACTTGTTATCGGGCAGTACTGCACTGGTTTCTGAATTTCCGCAGTTCGGATACTAGTCTTGATGTTCATAGTGGCATTTGTAACTAACAATGAACATCTGAAAAGAAAAGTCGAACAAAACCTACGTTATAGTGTCAAAGAAATGATTCAGGTAATGGGTGTCAGTATTTCAACAATATCTCACCATCACAAGAAAATTGGTAAGGTGAGGAAACTCGATAAATGGGTTTGACGTTGTTGTGGAGTAGCTGAACACCCCTACAAGATGGATTAGTCTAAGACTATTTATAAGTGTCATACCTGAACGTACCTATTCTATTATTAATAGACTCTCCCACACATAATAAGTAGTAGTAGCAGTAGCGGTCGCCAGTTGGATCTCAGTGGTGTTGAGTGAGTAAGTCGATGTCGGACATTGAAGTATCAACCATCGCAACTAGATTGCTGCGTCATTAACTCTTATTTCAAGTTTCTAACGTTTTGTACGTCGAACCTAATTTAGGACGACTTAGTTGAAAATACAAGCCTCTCCACTGTGAAAACTACTCTACAACACAATAAGGCACACTCGCTTACTCCAGGAAACCAGTTAAAGATTACGGTTAAGTCTGCTTTCTGATTCTCTTTCCTTCGTTTTTTTTTAAATGTCCTCTTTTCGTGCAGAGTCTTGTCTGGGAAGGTAGACAGCCGCCCGACCCCGTGTATGCGGGGTATACGTGGTATTTTACCCGAACGTTCGCGCTCAGAGAGCCCCACATCAAATCTTTCGTTAGTTATGATGGTGGTTAGCTACAGTGTTCGAAACTTGGCTGGTTTTAGGCGTTAATGTTAGAACTGGTGAAATTAAGACATATAATGCGCCTGAACATTTACTATGGAAATAAAAGTAAAGTAGCGAGAGGCTTGTAATATTTCGCTTGTGGGAAAGTGGTTGTAGGGCGGAAGATAACAAAAAATTATTCGTGTTCGGTCAGTAAGCAGTTCATTTCGAACCCCGACCTACCACACGTCATGATTCAACGGATGTCCCCTCAGGGAGGTTTCGTACCTTGAGAGACTGTTGGGATTTAAACTTACACCTGACCTCAACATGGATCTTGTATATATGAGCCATCGCTAAAGATGCAAGTAAAATGATCGGCTCCCAATACCGCTCCAGTAAGTCCCTGACTCCTCAGGTTATCCTCTCCAAGAGTCAGATCAGGCCAAAAAATAAAGTACTGTTATCATATTTGGGTGGAAGCTGCCCAATCGAACTCTCCAGCCGCGATAGAATCCGAAAGAGTCTACGAGTACTTGTGGGTGACGAATTATTTTCCACCCTCCAACCTCTCACTCACAGGCAGTATGTGGCAATATCTCTCACTGCTGTATCGCTATTTTCACGAAAAGTGCTCGGACAGACTACATTCTTCGGGTCCCATTTCTAAACTTCACGGCAAGAATCCCCTATTCATCGTAGCAAAACACCCACATTCCGTCCGTATTCCAACGGCGAGAAGTTAGGTCCATTCTAACAGTTTCTTCCCACAAGCCAATGCTCTGTGGAACCGATTCCTAAGAGGGTGTTTCCCCTGATCACAACAATCTTAAACCTGTTTAAGTCTAGGGTTAACCGTCACTTTCCCCTCCTATCAGTATAAAGTGCTTCTTGAAGTAATCCTCTAATTCGAGTGCCCCCCGGGTCTTGTACAGGGTGAAATTTACTGTAAAAACATCATTAGAATTCAGTGTCGTTTTTCAGAAATCTGTGGACCTTCTCCCTAGATTACATTGCATGTACTTAAACCAATTAATTCAC